CCTCCTCCCCTCCCTCCTTCCTCTGTGTTTGAGCGCTTCAACTTAGTTAACAATTAACCAACTTGAACACTTATTTGAGGCTTTTCTCTGCAACTTGACATTCCTCCCAAACTTGGCGACGGACAACTTACTCCGGCGGGGCTTTCTTCCCGACGTGTAGGCGGCTCCCACCTCCTCCTGTTGCACCTCCTCCTTCTGCTGCACCTCCTCCTCCTGCTGCACCTCCCCCTCCTCCCCTTGTTCCTCCTGTTGCACCTCCTCCTCCACTTCTTGTTCCTCCTCCTCCTCCTCCTCTCAAGTGGACTATGGCACTTTTATCATAATTTCGGAGCTAAATACCATTACAGCTTATCTGAAAATCGCGTTAAAGTTGGTCTGGTCAATTTGGCGGCCGTTGTATCCGTCGCCAAGTTTTATAATAACAGTTTAGCGGCGGGTAACTTTGGCGGGAAAATACCCAACCGCGTAATTAACATTTGGCGACACCGCGAGGAAAATGTCGCTCTAAGGAACTGATATTTTGAGAATATTTCAAGATTTATGCGGCATAAAAGATATTGATGTATTATTTAGGAGAGAAACTTGAAGTTCGACATCTTTTATGTGTGTGAAAACTACCGACGATCTCGACAAACTGTAGCCGTTGTATGTAAACAAAGGCGGGATCACGTGATCTTGAGCGCTGTTCTGGCTTTTGTTTCTTTTTAGCGTTATCTTTGGCAGCCAAGAACTGTTATCGGCGAGAACATTGTGGTGATCAGATCACTCATCTTCTTATTGTTGATATCAAACACTGACTTCCTGCCCTTTTAATATTGTCATTATTTTTCTCAATTTATCCTGACGTCTCTTTCCTCCCTTCTTGGCCGCCCTCCTTACGCTCTCTCTTCTGACCTCATTCACTCTCTCCACCACTCCCCCTCCTCTCTCCCCCCTCACTCTCTCCACCTCTTCCCCTCACTCTCTCCACCTCTTCCCCTCACTCTCTCCATCACACCCCGTCACACTCTCCACCTCTTCCCCTCACTCTCTCCACCACTTCCCCTCACTCTCCCCACCACTCCCTTTCCTCTCCCCACCACTTCCCCTCACTCTCTCCACCACTTCCCCTCACTCTCCCCACCACTCCCCCTCCTCTCCCCACCACTCCCTCTCCTCTCCCCACCACTCCCCCTCAGTCTCCCCACCACTCCCCCTCAGTCTCCCCACCACTCCCCCTCAGTCTCCCCACCACTCCCCCTCCTCTCCCCCAGTATCAGCTAAAGAATAAGATCAATGAATAGACATAACACCAAGTCTCACTCCGGAGGAACACGTTTATTGAATAATTTAGAGAGACGAGAGAGGGAGCGTGGGAGGGAGAGAAAGAGAGAGGGGAAGGAGGAAAGATAGAAAAGGAGGAAGGGAAGAAGGAAATGAAGGAAAGGATACAGAATAAGATAGTGAGAGGATATAAAAGAGCTGAGGGAGAAAGGGAAGCGGAAAGGAATAGGAGTTACATGAATTGAAAGGAGGAGGATAGCATAGGAGAGGAGGACGGGAAATAAAGAGGAAGAGTTATTCATTATGTATGAAGGTTAGACGGAGGAAAGGATAGAGAAGGGAAATAGTGGGATATATATATATATATATATATATATATATATATATATATATATATATATATATATATATATATATATATATATATATATATATATATATATATATATATGAAGAATTAAAATTGGAAAAGGGATACAGCATAATTGGCAGAATATATTATCCATTTTTAATACGAGACTTGGGGATAGGCAGAGAGCGTGCGCGCGCGCCTGTGATGACACATGTACCATGCTCAGCACCAAGAGTACGCGCAGCCTGAGCACCTGGGTGTGTACTGACCAAATTGTGCTTGCGGGGGTTGAGCTTTAGCTCTTTGGTCCCGCCTCTCAACTGTCAATCAACTGGTGTACAGATTCCTGAGCCTACTGGGCTCTATCATATCTACATTTGAAACTGTGTATGGAGTCAGCCTCCACCACATCACTGCCTAATGCATTCCATATGTTAACTACTCTGACACTGAAAAAGTTCCTTCTAACGTCCCTGTGGCTCATTTGGGTACTCAGTTTCCACCTGTATCCCCTTGTTCCGCGTACCGCCAGTGTTGAATAGTTTATCCTTGTCTACCCAGTCAATTCCCCTGAGGATTTTGTAGGTAGTGATCATGTCTCCCCTCATTCTTCTGTCTTCCAGTGTCGTAAGGTGCATTTCCCGCAGCCTTTCGTGTGTGTGTGTGTGTGTGTGTGTGTGTGTGTGTGTGTGTGTGTGTGTGTGTGTGTGTGTGTGTGTGTGTGTGTGTGTGTGTACATAGCACAATGTACAACTCAGGTTTCTAGGTCGTTCCTTGTGTAAAGGTAACTAGCCTACAAGATGTTCATAGAGTGGATAGTCACCTAGTTTTTGGTTAACTGGTGGATACTTTGTGTAAACTCTATTGTGTACCTACACTGGTGTACATGTACCCTTACGCTAGTGTACATGTACATCCAGGCATCCAAGTTTCAACATAAAATCCCTCAAAATATTTTCCGCTTAAATCCCCTGGGCCGAGGGGAAAATCCCCCAGCATCCGACTCACTGACTGTAATCCCCTTGCTCTCTCTCTCTCGCTCTCTCTTTCTCGCTCGCTCGCTCTCTCTCTCTCTCATTCTCTTTGTTGGTCTGTCTCTTTATATATGTTTCTCTGTCTGGCTTTCTCTGCCTCTGTATTCACCTAGTTGTGCTTGCGGGGATTGAGCTGTGCTCTTTTGGGCCGCCTTTCAAATGTCAATCAATCAACGATCATCCCCCCCCCTCACACACACACACACACCTATTTCACCAACTAGGTGAAATAGGTGAGTACACACACATACACAGGAAGCAGCCGGTAACAGCTGTCTAACTACCAGGTACCTATTTACTGCTAGGTAACAGGGGCATCAGGGAGAAAGAAACTCTGCCCATTTGTTTTTCCGCCATCGCCGGGGATCGAACTCCGGTCCCCATGATTACGAGCCCTGAGTGCTGTCCACTCAGCCACCAGGCGCCCTATCTGGTGGTTTTGTGGACTTTGTGGATCTGTCTTTGTGTCTGTTCATTTACATACAACGTTTCAAATGTTCATATAAGAGCCCAATAGGCCTGGAACCTCTTCACCAGCTGACTGATGGTTGAGAGGAGGACCAAAGAGCTGAAGCTCAGCCCCGGCAAGCACAACCACGTAAGAATACATAGGTGAGTACACACACAAAGTTGCTTCCTGTTATCTTTTCATCAAAAATATATATATTTTTACAGTTTGGCCTTTACATTCGTTTCCATATTTTCCGTGCTTCCTCCTCGTCTGCCCCTTCTCCTCTTCCATCTCCATTACATTTATCCTCTCCTCTTTGCCAATCTACTATTCCTCCCTATTTCCTCTATTCTCTTTCATTATCTACCCTTCTCATCCTTTCCCCTTTTCTAACTCGCCTTGCCTACTCCCTCTTCCGTAACCTCCTCCTCATTCTCTCTCTCTCCGCTTCTCCCTCACCTCTACTGTCCTCTGCTTCTCTCTCCTACAACTCATTTAGTGTTTACTTTACCTTTCCCTTCCTTCAGATTGTATTTGTCCTTTCTCAGTCTCATTCCCTCTTCCTCACCCCCACCCGTCACCCCCGTCCTGTCTTCTCCCCCACCCGTCACCCTCACCCTGTCTCCCCCACTCGTCACCCTCACATTGTCTTCACCATCACCCTTTTTTCTTCCCAAACTACCGCTCTTTCTACTAACCCTCCCTACCTTCCTACACCCATTCCATTTCTTCCTCCCCTCACTCCGTCCCCTCCCTTTCTTCCTATCTGTCTCCCTCCCACATATTCCTTTCTCTTTCCATATCTCCATCCTTTTCTTACACTATCCCTTCTCTTCCCGTCTTTACTACTTACTCCCCCCTCACTCCCTGCTTTCCTCCATCCCACCTCTCCCTCCCACCCGTTCCATCCTGCCTCACTCCCCCCCCCCCCACCTCTCTCGTTTCCCGCTGTGCACAATAAAGCGAAAAAAGCGGAAGTCAGTTTGCGAATCGGTTTTAATGCTTGGCGTTGTGCGGGTGGATCGCGGGCACCAGATCGCTACCGCAAACACACCCGGGGGGGGGGGGAGGGATAACCCTGTGGGCCGGGGGGTGGGGGCATGGGAGGGATATGGTATGGAAGAGGGGAAATCAGGGCATGGAGGGGGTGGGGAGGAGAGGAGACAGAAAAGGGGGGGGGGTGAATGATGCGTTTGAGGGCATGTTTGAGGGAACGATTGTCTCTCCGGGGGAGACTTTTTTCTCCTCTCAGTCAAGTCTAAACAACCGGTTTTGTCTGCGTTTGTCATGAGTAGGTTGGGCGGGGGGGGGGGGCTTGTCTGAGCCTGTTTGTGTGTGTGTGTCTTTTCGCGTCCGTGTCGGCCTGTTGTCAGCTTCTATAATGCTGCAACTCTTTGCGTGTTTGTGTGCGTTGGTGGGCGGTGGCTGGCGTTGGTGGGCGTGGCTGGCGTTGGTGGGCGTGGCTGGCGTTGGTGGGCGGTGGCTGGCGTTGGTGGGCGGTGGCTGGCGTTAGTGGGCGGTGGCTGGCGTTAGTGGGCGTGGCTGGCGTTGGTGGGCGGTGGCTGGCGTTGGTGGGCGGTGGCTGGCGTTAGTGGGCGTGGCTGGCGTTGGTGGGCGTTGGTGAGCGTGGCTGGCGTTAGTTTGCGTGGCTGGCGTTGGTGGGCGTGGCTGGCGTTGGTGGGCGTGGCTGGCGTTAGTTTGCGTGGCTGGCGTTGGTGGGCGTGGCTGGCGTTGGTGGGCGTGGCTGGCGTTGGTGGGCGTGGCTGGCGTTGGTGGGCGTGGCTGGCGTTAGTTTGCGTGGCTGGCGTTGGTGGGCGTGGCTGGCGTTGGTGGGCGTGGCTGGCGTTGGTGGGCGTGGCTGGCGTTAGTTTGCGTGGCTGGCGTCGGGGTGGGGTAGGGGGCGGTGTCCAGCGTCGGGGTGGGGTGGGGGTGTCTGGCGTCGGGGTGAGGTGGGGGCGGTGTCTGACGTCGAGGGGTAGATGACTTGTGTCGGAGGGATGTTTGACGTTAAGGGATGATGTCTGACGTTGAGGAGTTGATGTCTAGTGTTTGGGGGCTGGCATCCCGGGGTGGGGGGGGTGGGGATGTCTTGGGGTCTGAGGCTAAAACTCCCTGAAATTGTTGGAATTGTTCACGCACGACTATTATTGCTGAAATTCCTCCACCGCCTTCCCCCGCCATCAGTACTTGTTGGTTCCCATTCTCCCCCACTCTCCCTGCACATCTATCTCCCTCCCTGCACCCCCCCCCCCTCCCCTCTCTCCCTCCATCTCAATGGAGTGTCTCCCTTACTCCCCAGTTTACACTGAGGTCATAATTATCCTAATATTAATCTCTCCGTGAGTTTCTTATGAGCGCATGTAGGTAGGGCTTCTATGAATCCAGGTCCTCTGGTCTCTGGGGTTGCCCTATAATCCAGGTCCTCTGGTCTCTGGGGTTGCCCTATAATCCAGGTCCTCTGGTCTCTGGGGTTGCCCTATAATCCAGGTCCTCTGGTCTCTGGGGTTGCCCTATAATCCAGGTCCTCTGGTCTCTGGGGTTGCCCTATAATCCAGGTCCTCTGGTCTCTGGGGTTGCCCTATAATCCAGGTCCTCTGGTCTCTGGGGTTGCCCTATAATCCAGGTCCTCTGGTCTCTGGGGTTGCCCTATAATACAGGTTCTCTGGTCTCTGGGATTGCCCTATAATCCAGGTTCTCTGGTCTCTGGTGTTGCCCTATAATCCAGGTCCTCTGGTCTCTGAGGTTGCCCTATAATCCAGGTCCTCTGGTCTCTGGGGTTGCCCTATAATCCAGGTCCTCTGGTCTCTGGGGTTGCCCTATAATCCAGGTCCTCTGGTCTCTGGGGTTGCCCTATAATCCAGGTCCTCTGGTCTCTGGGGTTGCCCTATAATACAAGTTCTCTGGTCTCTGGGGTTGCCCTATAATCCAGGTTCTCTGGTCTCTGGGATTGCCCTATAATCCAGGGTCTCTGGAATCTGTTTTTTTTTTTAACCGCCGAATGCGACTGTGTTATGGGAGATTGTCACGAATGCTTTTTACGTAATTACAGTTATAAAGCCAACTATCCTCTCTAAAATCATAACCCAGGAATTAGAATATTTTATCGCCTCTGACTTTTGTGTCGAATGTGAATGTGTTGACAGTTAATGAATTATATAACTGTGTGTACTAAACACCAAGACAATTTGTGTTTCATGCACTATTTGACCTCAGACTAGTGAGTATTAGCCTCGGTAAGTAAGGTGGATTTCCTAGGTTCAAAAGCTTCCGATTAGGGAAATCCTACTGCAAATTTTAGCAAGCGTTCTGCACGCTTGTTAAATCATGCGACTGAGCTGCACTGTGACACTTTACCTCATAAGTGCTCTCTTACCCACTCCAGTGCTCTTCCGGGTACTTCCATCTGCTCAACTTTGCGTAGTTGTCTATGTAGAACTTTATCAAGGACTTTCTAGCAGTCTAGAAATATGCAGTCTGCCCATTCTTCTCTTCATGATGGTAAATTTGTCATCCGTACGTTTTTTAAGCAAAGTTTCACTTCCCTAAGGCCTGAAAGCACTACTATAAAATGCTATGATTTGTTCAGATCCGAAACCTATGTTTATGAACAGCACAAAATGTCCACCAGATGTGCGACACAGTGGTTGCCAGGATCAGGTTGGGTTACCGTTACCTGTGGCAGGTGGCTATAGGTGACGGATCTCCCAATCCTGAGCACTCTAAGTGCAAACTCTGTGAGCAAAAATTGGGACATGAGTATGCACACTACATTACCGAATGCCCAGTTATTAGACCATTCACACCCGTTGGCATGAGGTACCTGGAGCTTTGCAATTACTTTTTTAACTCTCGTGTTCTTGAGGATATCCTCATAATGCACCCAGAGTTTGCCAGTGCAGGCTACTGAACATATGGCCCTGTATAACTAATCATCCTGCGAGATGGGGATGTTTAACATCACGTAGCTAGTTCTTGACACACACTGTACTCCCCTTAGGGAATTAAATTAGGGAGTCAAAGGGTGGGTCTGACGGCTGAGTGGACAGCGCTCGGTATTCCTAGTCCTAAGATTCCGGGTTCGATCCCCGGCGGAGGCGGAAACAAATAGGCAGAGTTTCTTTCACCCTGAAGCTCTTGTTCACCTAGCAGTAAATAGGTACCTGGGAATTAGACAAATACTACGGGCTGCGTCCTGGGGGTGTGTAACAAAAAGGAGGCCTGGTCGAGGACCACAGGTATGTGCAGCTTCTTTCAGTGACAACAGTTCCGGCTCAGTCGTGTAGTTGTAGCTACAATCGGTCCGGTCCAGTCGGCTACAGTCCGGCTCAGTCGCATAGCCAGACTGTAGCCGACCTGTAGTTCTTCAGCGGGAGCCTTATCGCTCTTGTTCAGCTACTCAACTTGCTGTGGAGAAACTTCGGGTATTCCAGTACTTGTATGTGATGCCATTTTCATCTTTCTTTACTATTCTCTCCTTATTATGTTTTGTTAAATCTGTTCACGTTCTCCCTCGTCCAGTGTTCTCTGCATATTTTTTCCATCTTGCTTCTCGTTATCATATGATAAATCATATGTTCTTATCCTATAGTGAAGGGATGTATCTCTTCCCAGCCTCTGTTCATCTCCACTTGTACTCACCTAGTTGTACTTGCGGGGGGGTTGAGCTTCGGCTATTTGGTCCCGCCTCTCAATTGTCAATCAACTTGGCGTATCCGTGTTGTGACACATCTCTAAACAACCCTTTTTTCTCTTTCTATTCTTCCATGTCCTCCTCCACCTCTTCTTTTTCGGCTGGCTGTGGACGCCCCCTTCTGAGCGTGTTTACCGTGGGCGGGTCACTCACACTAAGTGGCTCCCTAGTGTGCGTCTCTCCTCCTCTCTTCTCCCCTTCGCCTCCTCCTTTCCATCTTTTCCCTTCCCCCCTTTCCCACAACCCCCTCCTTCCCCCCTCCCCTGGGGGTAGACACGTGACGTAAACAAGCCAGTTTCCGTCTTACTAGTTAACTTGTTATTGTAAGTCTCAACTCCTTTTTTGCATGTGTGTTTGTATTCACCTAGCTGTGTGGGAGGGGGGCTGAGCTTCAGCTCTTGGGTCCTGCTTCTCCTCTTGTATCCAAGTGGTGACTTGGTTACCGAACCCATTCTGGTTGTTACAGTTGCATGATATTTAAAGACTGATGGACAGCTCTCGGGGTCACCATGCGGATGTCCCGGGTGACGTCACCACACCTGTAGGAGGTCAAGGATGTCAGCCCTGAGACGAAGACATCTGGTCTCTTGACAAGTTGGTCACTTCTCGCGTGACTAACATGGTAATCTACATGTTTTGAAGCAGAGGGAAAATAAACACAAAATACAGTAAATAAAATAAACAAAAACAAATAAGAGTAGAATGTATTCTGTCTAAGATAAGGAGACATATGAGGTGTTATCCTAATCCCAGGCATCCTAGGTAATCCTGTTTACCCAGGCATCCTAATCACGATGCCTGGGTGATCTTGCTTCGGGTTCTCATTGGTCGGTTGGGGGGGCAGTAGGCGTGGTATAGACTCAAACAGTTCTGCCTGTTTTGTTTTTAATATTTCGGAGGCACTAAGTGAAGCATACGTAGATTAGACATAACTGAAGCACTACATATCATACACTCATTAACCTGCCAAGAAAGAGCAGCCATAACATGTACCCTGCCGGCCAAATGAGCCACGTTACCCTATACCCTGCCTGGCAACAGGGCCACCACAACAGACCTGGCAAGAGGGCCACCACAACAGACTTGGCAACAGGGCCACCACAACAGACCTGGCAAGAGGGCCACCACAACAGACCTAGCAACAGGGCCACCACAACAGACCTGGCAAGAGGGCCACCACAACAGACCTAGCAACAGGGCCACCACAACAGACCTGGCAAGAGGGCCAAAATAACAGACCTGGCAAGAAGGCCACCACAACAGACCTGGCAAGAAGGCCACCACAACAGAGCAAGACAGCCACCACAACAGAGCAAGACAGCCACCACAACAGAACAAGACAGCCACCACAACAGAGCAAGACAGCCACCACAACAGAGCAAGACAGCCACCACAACAGAACAAGACAGCCACCACAACAGAGCAAGACAGCCACCACAACAGAGCAAGACAGCCACCACAACAGAGCAAGACAGCCACCACAACAGAGCAAGACAGCCACCACAACAGAGCAAGACAGCCACCACAACAGAGCAAGACAGCCACCACAACAGAGCAAGACAGCCACCACAACAGACCGAGCCAGCCACCACAACAGAGCAAGACAGCCACCACAACAAGACAGCCACCACAACAGAGCAAGACAGCCACCACAACAGACCGAGCCAGCCACCACAACAGAGCAAGACAGCCACCACAACAGAACAAGACAGCCACCACAACAGAGCAAGACAGCCACCACAACAGACCGAGCCAGCCACCACAACAGAGCAAGACAGCCACCACAACAGAACAAGACAGCCACCACAACAGAGCAAGACAGCCACCACAACAGACCGAGCCAGCCACCACAACAGAGCAAGACAGCCACCACAACAGACCCACCACACCAGCGGGAGGAACTTCCCCTGGCTATGAAGGGCCGCACAATAGGGGTGTCTACATCAGTGTAATAGACCATCAAATTTCCAGGTTCTCACGGCACATTGAGCGGCCCTCCCCACCGCTGTCATCGCCACCCCTCCCTACCTTAAATTCCTCACTGGGTGATGCCTTACCCTAATGACTATAGTAGGGTAGGTGTGGGCTAGAGGGAGGAGAGCGGTGAGTTACGGACGCGAGGTTAGTGTACCGTCTCTATCACTATGCACATCCATTTACTGTCTTTCAGTTGGTACTTAAGACAGATGGACAGATTCACTTGCTCTCCAGACCTCTCTCACTTATCTCTACGGTTGTACCGACTTCGTATCTTTACTACATTATCGATGTTCTCTTTCTCCTTATCATATCCCCCCCCCCCCTTCAAACTGCCTCTCACCCTTACCCCTCTGCCCCCACCACCCCCGCAGCTCCCCCAACCCCTCCTCCCTGCTTCTGCGACAAATCTGTGTGTTCAGGCCAAATACCTGCCAAATCTTTCCTGTGTCCCTCACAAAGCTGCTAGATCCTCCCTTCTCCCCCCCCCTACCCCCCACCCCCCGACATGTACCCTCAGCCTTCCGCTCCTCCTAGACCCGAAACCTCACCCTTAGGGGCTACCAGGTCCCTTACCCACCCTCGCGTCCCCTGACTACCGGTCTCCGTAAACACTTTTTTGTTATTCCTTGAGTAGTGTAGCACATCCCCTCGCATATGGGATGAAAGCGACGATGTTTTGGTCCGTCCTGGACCCCTTATCACGGTGATAAAGGTCCATCCTGGACCTTTATGACGATGTTTTGGTCCATCCTGGACCCTTATCATGATGTTTTGGTCCGTCCTGGACCCTTATCACGATGTTTTGGTCCATCCTGGACCTTTATCACGACGTAACTTGCGTGCGTTGGGTTACTCGTTCCAGCAACGTTGCCGTGCAACCCGTCCTCTCAAGTAATGCGCCTCATTTTGAACGTTATGGTCCACCAACGTACAAAATACTATGAAATGCAGCGGCTTACTAAAATCCACGTTTTCTATGCGTCGGTAGGTTAGGTAAATAGGTTGCTTGGGTTCGAACGTTTCTGATTAGGTATAGCACTGTGTATTGTGTAGGTTGTGGCGAGTCAAAAGAACGAGACGTGCTGTGACATTCCATGTATTCCTTTACTTACTCGTGGGGGGGGACTTCCCTAAATACCATGAAGCCATGTCTAAGATCTCCCTATCCTCACTCCTCGCAAGATGGCGTGTCATGCAGAGGTGTCATGCCTCTGTCATCGTCATATGTCTCTGCATGACACGATGGGTAGTATACATAACTACCCATATATATATATATATATATATATATATATATATATATATATATATATATATATATATATATATATATATATATATATAGTATATGGTCACCGGCACACTATACTATATAGGTACCAGCAGACACTATAGACACCACAAACACCAGGACACCACTCACAAACACCAGGACACCACTCACAAACACCAGGACACCACACACAAACACCAGGACACCACTCACAAACACCAGGACACCACACACAAACACCAGGACACCACAACCAAACACCAGGACACCACAAACAAACACCAGGACACCACTCACAAACACCAGGACACCACACACAAACACCAGGACACCACAAACACCAGGACACCACAAACAAACACCAGGACACCACAAACAAACACCAGGACACCACACACAAACATCAGGACACCACAAACACCAGGACACCACAAACAAACACCAGGACACCACACACAAA